ATGAAGAATGAACTACAAACATACTTGGAGGATAACGATAATGGGAATGTGAATTCAACGATATTGTGGGATGCAGCCAAAGCAGTTCTGCGAGGGAAAATAATATCAGAAACTGCTTTTGCTAAAAAGATGAAAACTCAAAAGCTGTTAGATCTATAAAAACAGCTTTTAGATCTTGAACAACAATACAGCAAAAATAAAGACGCACAACTACTCCTACAAATGAGACCAATTAAACAAGAAATAGCTAAGATTTATTGTGAAGAAGTGGAGAAAAAGCTTAGATTCACTAAGCAGAGATACTACGAGGCAGGTTCTAAAGCCTCTAAGTTATTAGCCTGGAGGCTGCGAAAACAGCAGACCGAGAATGCAGTATACAAAATTAGGGATCCTGCTTCAAAAAAGATCACACATGAATTAGAGGGAATGCAAAATGCATTTGAAAAATTTTATCAGTCTTTGTACACTCAACCTACACCATTTGACTCCCATAAGACGGAAGAATTTTTGAGCCAGTTGGACCTGCCCTCCCTGGGGAAGCTGCATAATGACAAATTAATAAAAGAAATATCAATTGAAGAAATAGATAAGGTGATTGCCTCCTTGAAATCCGGCAAGTCTCCAGGGATGGACGGGTTTCCAGGAGAATGGTAAGTCGATGAGGGAGCAATTAATACCAATACTACATAGGATCTTCACCTATACTTTGAGGGAGGGAGCCCTTTCCCCATCCTGGAGGGAGGCATCCATATCAGTAATTCCAAAAGAGGGCAAGGACTTAAAGGAATGTGGAGCATATAGGCCTATTAGTGTTTTGAACCAGGACTACAAAATATATGCAGCCATTTTAACTAAAAGATTGGAGGAGGTGATGCCCCTGTTGATAGATGAAGACCAGTCAGGATTCATTCAATGTAGACAGACTCAGGACTGCATAAGGAGGACCCTCCACACCATTGAGTACATAAAAAAAGAGAAACTCAGGGCCATCCGACTTAGTATGGATGCAGAAAAAGCATTTGATTCGGTGGGGTGGGGATTTCTTTACAAAGTTATGGAGAAATTTGGATTCCATGAGAACTTTATTAAGAGTGTTAAAACATTGTACACATCCCCCATGGCCAGAATCAAAGTTAACGGAAGTCTGTCTGAAACCATATATTTGCAAAGAGGTTGCCATCAAGGCTGCCTGGCTAGCCCAGGGCTCTTTAACTTATTCATCAAGACTCTCACTCAAGCGATTAGACAAGACCCGGACCTAGAAGGTATCACAATTAGAGGCACAGAGTACAAAATATGCCTTTTCGCAGATCTCGATCAGCCTAAAAAATCCAGGGGCAGGGGTCCCAAGACTAATGTATTTGCTACAGATATATGGAGCAATGTCAGACTACACCCTTAATATTGATAAAACACAAGCGTTGGTGTTTAATTTTACCCCAGCACTAGATCTTAAAAACAAATACAAGTTTAATTGGGACTCTACAACTATTAAATATTTAGGTGTGAAACTAACTAAAGACATATCTCAACTATACACTAAAAATTATACTCATATTACTACACAGATAAAAGAGGATTTGGACAGATGGGCCTCTCTGCCCCTGGATTTAGGTAACAGAATAATGACAATAAAAACAAATATTTTACCCAAATTACTTTACCTATTTCAGTCTTTAACCATCCTTATTCCTGATAATCAATTTAGAGAATGGGATAGGGCAATATCCCGGTTTATTTGGAATGGCAAAGTCCCCAGAGTGAGATACAAAACCCTGCAGCTGGCGAGGGACTGTGGAGGAATGGGTTTACCTAGCCTCAAAGATTATTATTTGGCAGCACAGATAAGACCACTGCTACTCTGGTGCAATCAGGAATATTATGCTAAATGGAAAGTCATTGAACTGTCGCTTCTAGATAGGCCTCTCCAGAGTTTGCTAGGATACTCACTAGCGACAAAACACTGTGATATCCAGAGTCAGTGGGTGAAGTTTTCTATTGAAATCTGGTCTGGCCTAGTGAAACAACTCAACATTCAAAAAGAAATCCAAATATTAAGGTGGCCAGCCTATGATTCAGGCTTCAAGCCAACTGTAAATGACATCGGGTTTATCCAGTGGGCGAGAAAAGGTATTACAGCACTTTGTCTGATAGTAGACAACCAGGAACTTATAGACTTCAAAACTATGTAAGAAAAATATGACCTTGGTCAACAGGATTTTTATAGGTACCTCCAACTCCGTAATTATTACGACAAAAATATTAAAGGATCTTTGCCAACTAGTGTATCGGGTCTCAGTCAGATGTTCATTAGGGCTCACAAGTCGAAACTGTTCAGAAAGATTATTGGTGAATCATATAAATGCATTGTTGAACTACATGGCCACACTACAAACTATGTAAAGGCAAAATGGGAAACAGAACTGGGAATCGTCATCACTCCGGAGGAATGGACCAACATCATTAACACTCAAATTACCACGACAGCCTCACAACAGTGGAGAGATTTCTCCTGGAAAAACTGTATTAGATTTTTTATAACACCAAAACAATCATCCAAATGGACTGGATCACAACCCATGTGCTGGAGAGAGTGTGGCCACTGCGAGGCAGGCCATACACATATATTCTGGAGTTGCCCTGTCCTTAAACCCTTTTGGGACAATGTCCACAATACTATCAGGGAAGTCCTATGACATTGAATTCACCTGTCTATCCTTCTATCTGGGGAACATGGACTTAGAAATACCTAAAAAGGACAGATATCTTTTGAAAATCTTCATGGCAGCAAATAAAAAGGCCATAACACAGCGATGGCTTTGTGGGGAACCCCCCACTATCAACGAGTGGATTACCATAATCAATGACATTCAGTGTATGGAACGAATGACTTTCAGTCTAAGACTGCAAAAGGACAAAGGTGACGCTTTTTGGAGAAAGTGGGACTCATACCTCACATATAGAGGTGACAACATGACATGCATCTGAAATACTCTGATTAGTGCATATAACAAGAGTACTGTCATAGTCTTTAACAACCAACTCGTGCCCCTGTTTGTTTGTTCTTTTTCTTCTTATTTTATTATTTTCATGCAAATTACTGTTGATAATAACAAATTATGTCATGTAACTCCACTGTAAGTTACCTGTAGTAGGGCTGGGCGGTATGACAAAATCTTCATATCACGGTTTTAAGAAAAAATCATATCGGTTTCACGGTATTTTGCTCAGGTTCGGCCAACTTGACATGCTGCTGTGTTGTGCTATGGCCTATTCAAGTGCTGGAATTTGTTATTTACCTGACAACGCCTGAACACAACACACGCTCCGCTCCATTCATTTGGGCTCCACTCCATTCATTTGGGCTCCACTGACTGCGTACGGAAGCGACACGTAGAGAAGCCAGCGGGGTTGTTTACCGTTTGCCGAGCCGAGAGGCTGCATGTAGGCTGCATGAAATGTTAAAGCATTTTCCACCTAAGTTATTACATATATTTGAGTTATTTACAAGTTTACTGTACTGTTTGTCATCTTCTCACTTTCAAATGTCCGTCACGGACATTTACACAATGTCACAGATAAACATGGGTAAATGCATGAAAAAAAATCACCACATATCACCTCTGATAATGGTTTATTCATTTAAAAACACATTGTGCTCGTTTAGCACACTATTTCATGTAGTTTTTATCTGCTGGAGGGTCACGTAGCGCGACAAAAATATAAGAAAAATAGAAGAGTAAAATAGAGAGTTGTTGCGCGACAGACGGGGGTTGTCGCGCCGCTCCCATTGCCGGTGGAGCCGCTGTAATTGATTAACCGAGGGGGCGAGCTGCTACGGGACTTGCGCTGCAGACGCCCAGTGGAGCCTGGCCATAACTGTCTCGGACTCCGGACGGGTCGTCTTCGGTCAGGAAAATGCGGCCCGAGCTGTGCTCTAGTGAGCTTACCTGTGTGTGTGCGCTTTGTCTGTGTGTGTGCGCAGAGGACAGAGGAGAATTGTAAACGGCGGTACGCCGCTGCTAGTTGCATATAGGGGAAACACTGCTCTTTTTGGTATGAGTTCTTCTGGGTCATCGTGTACAGTTGCTTTGCTTTCAGGACTCTCTCCGGCAGCCATTCTACCCTCTAAACTTTTCTATGCTCTCACTCTCACCCGCTCAAGCGTGCCTGTGGTGTGCAGCAGTGAAATGGGTCCCCCATCCCCCCCAAACACTTTCCCGCCGCGCACGTTCCGGACGTTGTTTGGGCTACTCACCGGTATTGCGGTATATGAAAATTTCATATCATAACGAAAATAAATACCGGTTTTCGGTACAAACCGGTATACCGCCCAGCCCTAACCTGTAGCAGTGCTTACTGTACAGAATTTGCACAAAAATTTGAAAAATAAAGTTTGAAAAAAAAAAAAAAAAGAGCCTAAATGTTAGCACAGTTTTAGCAGAGCTGACAGAAAGGCAGCTGGAGGTGTCTGTGCCTACATCATCATTAAGTTAATTGGTGACTTTATCATTGTCATAGGTGTGAGTGTGTCAGCCCTGTGACAGTCTGGTGACATCTTCAAGGTGTCTTCCTGTGAAGGAACTTTGTTGTGTTACAGCCTTTTACCTCGGTCAGTAAAGGAAATGGGTGATAGTTATGCTTAAGGTAACATTCAGGTAAGCAGAAGGCCGAAAAGAGGCCTCAAGGTGAGGTTAATTGACCTTTATTATGAACGCAATATTTGGTCTACCAGTTGTGATAGAGGGAGTACAGCCGTCCACATAAGGGTGCCTAACTGGCTCTGTTGCCATAGCTCCCAAGGTTAAGAGGAAGGGAGATTGCCCTGTCCCCCAGGCTTAACAGAATAGAGTCTCTTTTTAGTTATGTCCATTTTGTAAGCAACAGTCGAGTGATTTAGAGCGAGCCAGGTGAGCATTGTTGTTTAAAGTCCGTAAACAATAGAAACTTCACAAAAACATACATCAGTACAGGTTCTTAATAACCATGTAGATACTCACCTTTCCCCGCACTGTCACCTCCACTGTAGACAGAAATAAGAGTATTGAATGAATGGGAGACATTGAAAAAGCAGCTGTACAGTGTTTCACATATTGTAATGATTTACATAACAGGAGTAAAGGAAAGAATGTGACAAACCTTTGTAGTTGTGTCCATGACCATTGGGATTGTTGCATTTTCCATAAACTCTTTTATTCTCCTCATCACTAAGGTGAATGCTAGAAAAACATTAATGTAACCTTTATCAAAACCTGCTACACGCTTTTGGCCTCTCCCATTTCTCAATTTGTACCTCCTCCATTCTCCTCCTCATGTCTTAGTTCCGCCCATGGGAGATGTGGAGGAGGAGTAGTTGAAGGGACGCGAGGAGAAATGAGTCAAGGCAAGAGGCATTTACAAAATTAGACATCCTTGGTTATTAGCCATCCAGCCATTATTTTTAAGTGATGTCAATTCATGCCGTGGGACACAGTTGCGTCAGCTGTCCACTGCTTTGTTACCCCCAAATTCCACCAGATGTGCGTTGGTTGCGTCTGCGCTCCGGAACGGCAGCAGAGCCGATACGTTTCAATTCTAGTCAATGTGTGTGCTTCCACCGGCTGCGGCTGTGCTGCGTTCCAGCTCCGTCACAGCTGCGGCGCTCTAGAGCCCTCCGCAACCGATACGCAGGACTTCTATTTTTGCCGGAAGCCGGAGCACAATGCAACAATTCAGCACGGAGCAGCTCGTGCGGGGCAGGAAGTCGTGCACAGAAACAAAATAAAACATCCGGTTAATTTTCAAAATAAAATACAAAGTGTTCACGGCAGATCGTATTTCCCTGCACTAGACTTTGAAAACGTCATAATGGGTGGAGGCAGGCCTGAAGTCAACAGGTCAGAGGTTTCCAGACATCATTTCACCCCATTGACACCATGGACGAAGAGATGTTAATCATGGAGGTGCACCGAGATGTGTTCCTACGACTCCTCTGGTTTTGTGGTTCTGTTTCTAGAAACTACATCTTGTTATATCACGCGATTATGCGTGAAATCGCTAGATCTCATGGGTCCTCATGACTCCCGCTGTCCGGCGGAGCTGCACCGCTCTGCACAGCAACGCAGCCGGTGGGTGCTGACAGACGGCGGAGCACGCAGCGGATAACCAGCGCAGCCGTTCCGCAACGGACACACATCCAGTGGAATTCTGGCGTTAAAGTCTACCACTGTAATTATGATCTCCATCTGAGCAGATTTACCTTGAATGCAATTCACAACCTGGCATAATGTGACAACAATGTATGGATGTCATACTTTTTTTTTTATATATATATTTAGCACGCATACACATATACGTCAGGTACTGAAAATGCTCCCGCAAAGGGTACTCTGGTGTATTGTTGCTTATATCTCCTCCAGATGCCTCCTCGCTCCTCTTGATGCATTTTTTAACTTGGGACTGAGTCTGAGATGGAGCACTCAGATCAGTTTGCGGGTAACACCAAGGATCAAAGAGTTAAGGAGGCACAAAATTGAGAGATGGGAAAAAACAACAACCATTTTACATGTTTTTCTAAGGTTTGTCCAGGTGCTTTTCCAAAAAAAGAGGGTAAAACAATGCACTGAAATTGAATGTGTGATTAGGACTGAAAGACAAATCAACACGGATAGAAATGCCTATTTAGGAGCATACTGTACATAAAAAACACTTAGAAATCCTACATTGATAATAAAGATTTTTGTTTTCCCTTAATCATTTGTGTACATACAACAGTCCATGGCACCAGTAACTTGTTAAAAACTGCACTTGAGGTCAGGATTGTCATTTAACTTTAAAGTAAGGAATCTCTGTCTGTCTCTGTCTGTCTGTCTGTTGCATATCTCGGTAATGTTCATCCATGTCCTTCACACTTGGTGGGTGTATTGCTAGGGATAGGCAGGTAGAAGACTCGCAACACTGCAGCTCCCGGTAGAAGAATTCTTTTATTAAGTGACTACATAATAAGTAAAGATTACATAATAGATAAAAGACAATGTTTCGAGCCCAAACAGGCTCTTCGTCAGGTCAGTGATTAGACAAGTGTTTGCAGGTGTTCATAATATACAGTTTGGTGATCCACCCATAGGTGGGGTCAAAAAGATGAAGACAAACTAGAAGACACAGGTGATGATCACAATGGCACTCATACAATATACAAGTAAAATACCAAAAATTTCAAGTAACATGTACAGTATAAAAATAGGGATTCTGTTGTTTAATAGCTGCAAATTTGATAAGAAGGGGCTTAACCCGTCTCAAAGAAAGGAATAAAGGCCTGTGTAAAAGAAAATATCTCCACTAAGAAAATTTAAGTGACTCAAACGACGACAAAACTAATGAAATAATAATAATGATTCAAAAAATGTAAGAAAAAACATATATAATGATTGTCTGGGGAATAATAATGAGGGAGCCTAAAGTTGTCAGTTGATGAAGAATGAAGTTCCCCTTCTCTATGAAAAAAGGGAAATGATATTAGAAACCAAATATGAACATTTAGACAAAAAAATTTAATTCTTCAAAACTAATTCATATGCCAAAACAAAAGAAAAAAATATCTATAAAAACATATATGAAGAGACTACACAGAAAAAAAGGGGGAGAAGGGATATTCTCTTCTCTCTTGATCTGGCTACTCATTTCTGGGACATCATTGCTAAGGAGCTAAAGCTGAAAAAGTATGTCATTTCCCCTTCCCTACAAAGTAATTGAAAAAAGAACAATGATAAAGAATGAACACCCAAATTACCAAAAAAGAGTGTGTATAAGTAACAATGAGGATTAACCTCTATACATAAATAAACAAGTACATCACAATGATAAATATCGAGAGAAAAACCTCAAATGTAACGTTTTTTCTATTAAACCTTTTTTATAAATCGTTACATTTGAGGTTTTTCTCTCGATATTTATAATTGTGATGTACTTGTTTATTTATGTATAGAGGTTAATCCTCATTGTTACTTATACACACCCTTTTTTTGGTAATTTGGGTGTTCATTCTTATCATTGTCCTTTTTTCTCTTACTTTGTAGGGAAGGGGAAATGACATACTTTTTCAGCTTTAGCTGCTTAACAAAGATGTCCCAGAAATGAGTAGCCAGATCAAGAGAGAAGAGAATATCCCTTCTCCCCCCTATCTTTCTGTGTAGTCTCTTCATATATGTTTTTATAGATATATTTTTTCTTTTGTTTTGGCTCCCATATGAATTAATTTTGAAGAATTAATTTTTTTTGTCTAAATGTTCATATTTGGTTTCTAATATCATTTCCCTTTTTTCATAGGGAAGGGGAACTTCATTCTTCATCAATTGACAGCTTTAGGCTGCCTCATTATTATTCCCCAGACAACCATTATATATGTTTTTTTCTTACATTTTTCGAATCGTTATTATTATTATTATTAGTTTTGTCCTCGTTTGAGTCACTTAAATTTTCTTAATAGAGATATTTTCTTTTACACAGGCCTTTATTCCTTTCTTTGAGATGGTTAAGCCCCTTCTTATCAAATTTGCAGCTATTAAACGACAGAATCCCTTTGAAATTTTTTGGTATTTTACTTGTATATTGTATGAGTGCCATTGTGATCATCAGCTGTGTCTGCTAGTTTGTCTTCAACTTTTTGACCATACCTATGGGTGGATCCCCAAAGTGTATATGATGAACACCTGCACTAGGGATGTAACGATTACCAATATTATGGTAAATCTCGGTTAAATTTTACACGGTAAGAATTACCATTTATGTTTAAATTAATTGCATTATCGCGGTGGATTATCAGGATATGTAATAACAGCCTCATTCAAGTCTCCCGATGCAGGCGCTGTGTGAATGCGTAGCATGTGTAAACACAAAGAATGAAAACATGGCGGAAGGTGGTGACAGCAGCACTCAGGACATTTTCCCCCCAACTAAACGCACAAAATCTAAGGTCTCAATCAATCAATCAATCAAACTTTATTTATATAGCGCCTTTCATACATCAAAAATGCAACCCCAAAGCGCTTTACAAACTAAAAACATACAACAAAAAAAAAAATACTACAAATACTGAAAACCCGCCCCTCCCACCCCCACATAACAGAACAGGGGAGGACAGGAGCGGGAGAACTGTGGGTCGCCACATGAGCAGCGCCCCGTTTACTTAGATGAAAACAGGAGAACAAGAGGGAGGAAGAGGGGGAAAAAAAGCAACTCCCAAACTAGGCTCCTGTAGGGGGGCACAGTGTGGGAATAGGAAAAAAAAAACATCTCAGCACATAAGCAAAATAATAAGACATTACAACAAAACTCGAAGACACTGGGGGGCGCGCACGCAGCCACATTTGGGCGCATCGCATCACCCTCCCATGCTACATTGCAAGGAAGGGAGGGAGGGGGGGAGGGGGCCAAGAAGGCATTGAGTTGGAGGGGGCGTGCGTGTTATATGTGTCTTCATGTGTGTGTATGTGTAAGTCCATGTACTTCATCTCCACTCAGTCCCAACCCATTGTCTCTGCCGTCTGATAACTGATGACGAAGACACGGCCGTTGCCGTGGAGACGACCTCGGAGAGTTCTGATCCAGAAACAAAGTTCACAGGAGGAGGGGGTGGTGGGGGGAGATGGGGCCGGAGCATCTTGTCTGCATAACATCCAGGAGAGTGGAGAGGTAAACAGCCTTGGGAGAGCTGGTTACCTCGGGGAGCCAATGAAGATAACATTTGTTTTGAGTCAGGCCGACACTGCAATTTTTCGTCTGCCTTTGAGTTTCTCTGAGTCTCCTGGTGGCTTGCTTCCAATATGTCCGAATTGGTGGCCAGTTTCAGCCGAGCCGGGCTGACAACTTCTCCAAGTTGGCATCCATCTTGCGAAGGAGTTCAGGAATCGCATCCAGCTTGTGATTGAACTCACATATCTCTTTAGTCTGAGTGTTGACAGCCCTGCACTTTCCCTCAGTCATGACGGGCAGCTTCTCGATTGCCAAAAGTGCTGCCAACGTCTTCTGAACTTTGCGATAGATCAGGAAGCTGCTAACTCCAAACAGCAGAATGCCTGTTATCATAATTCCAATTATGTAGACGTCTTCAACATCCTCAACGGGAAGAATTGACAGGCACACGATCCTCCACTTCTCCCAGGAGTCCATCGTGTATCCGGCTGCAAACGTTCCATCAGGGAAGGCGGGCTCTCCTTTGTCCAGTCTCCTTGTCGAGAAAATT